ATATATATATATAGCACGGTGCAGTAATAGATAGCAGCTTGCATTGAGTTCGAATTCCATTCGAATCCATTACATTCACTTACATGCTAATATCCTTGGAAAAAGTACAAATCCCCTTATTCTCCCTCTAGCTATGGGTAAATAGCAGGACTGGGTTGTATAACCTTAGACGGGAACTGATCTAGAAGGAGGACAACTTTGAATTCAAAACCCGCGGAGGGTAGTTTGGGGACCTTGTGGCACTTAGTGCAGCAGTTCTTTGTATTAGGCCCTTCAAAAAGTGTGGATGGTGCTGCACAAAGCCTTCACCACTATAATCAAATCACATGTGCTGGTGTCTGGCTGTCAGAGCTGCTTGACCCTCATAATTTCGAATACGACGAGAGAGTCGAACATATATATATATATATATATATATATTACATCGACTCTCCCTGACGATCCGTTTAGGTGAAACCTAGGTAGGTTTGTCTGGCTCACTAGGTGTATCTAGGTCTGCTCTACGGTTGTATTGAGCTCTTTTGTTAGTTAGTTGTTTACTCGTGTCGGGTTTTTTTCTTTGGGCTTCAAACCTGTATCTGTGCGATTTTTTTCGACAGACTTTCATGTTTCTAGCTCTTTCTTTTTTTAAAATCTTTTTTCCCCTCGAGATTGATTTGATTATTGGAAAATCAAAAATTCGAGGGTTTTTTCGAAACGAGTATAGTTATCTATCTATCTATCTATCTATCTATCTATCTATATATATATATATATATATATATATATATATATATATATATATATATATCTTGAGAATCCTTTATTCGAAATTCTTGGGAACGGAAGTGCTTCAGATATTTTCGGATTTTGGAATACAGGCTTTAATAATTTGTATATAACATCTATAAAATGGAGCAGCCTGGGGATAGAACCCAAGCAGAAACATGATACCCCTTTACATTTCATAACACACCTTATACATACACCCTGAAGGTAGTTTTATATAAATAACATATATCCTGAAAATAGATTTATATAAAATTTAAATTTTGTGTACATACAGACAGAGTTAATGACGTTTGTCATGTAATGGTCACACAGGTTTTTAAATGGTGTTTTTTTTAAGTATTTCACCCCAAGAAAGTTGGGAGTGCCACTAGCAGGCAAGGGTTTACAGAGAGTGAAAGTAAGCTTAAAGAGGGGGGAGGTGTTTCAGGAATGGATAAAGAGAGGATGTCGATTGACATTGCATTTAAGTTTTTGAAGATTATAGTTATCAGGAAAGCAAGTAAGAGGGAGGGAGCTCCACTGTCGGAAAGTGTGAGAGAAGAAGCTGTTGGAGTAGAAGAGGCGTTTACATTTAACTGTTTTGACAGTAAAAAGGTGGGACCGAGATGCCAACCTAGTAGCACGCTTAAATTTATATAGTTGGGGTGCTAGTGAAAATAACTCGTCAGAGCAGAAGCCATGAAAATAATTGTTGAAAAGACAGAGAGAAGACGCATCACGTCTGTGAGAACGTTACTGGAGCCGAGGTGACAGGTCAGGACCTATCATATTGCATATCCGTTTTTTTGGATTTTGTCGAGAACCTCGAGATGAGCAGCGGCGGCAGCAGACCATATATGGCAACAGAATTCAGTGCAAGGACGAATGGTATTAAAATAATGTTTTGTTCTTTCTGTACGTGTACAAAAAACATGATCACTACTTACAAAAATATATATAAATGAAGGATTTTTTGACATTTTGAATATGATCTTTACTGAGCACGAATGATCTGAGAAGTAATAAACAAACGAAGGTGTTGCAGTGAGGATCGCTAACAAAAAAAACTGATGCCAATGTAGGCTAACTAGATGGGCTAGGGAACCCCACCCAGTTATAGACTAACAAAAGGTACCTCTATTGATGACGACTGTCTCCCTTGAAATAAGAACTCTCCCTCCTCTATAAATAAGCAGCCAAGACGTGCCTTCTCAATTCAAGCTGAATAAAGATTTCTTAAGTCTTATCAATCCTCAGAGTTATTACATTATATATGATTAAATAAAGAACAGTTAGGAAAATCTTTATAAAGTTAACCTTTATTTGACTTAATGTTGATTCGATTTTAAATTATATGTTCTTTTGTTTTCATTGGTTGTCTTAATATCGCCTGTTTACATCATGGCGTCAGTTTTATTTATGTGTGTATTGATTTTAACTTCTATGTTTGTTTTCTTATCAACAGTTGCATGGGCGTTACTTGTATATCTCAACAACCAATATACAAAATATATACTTCTAACATTCGTCATATGTATAGCAATTAAATACACTAATAAAACCAGTTTTTAATACACACTTGAATGACGTTAATATGTCAAGAATTAAACACGCTCAGAGTACATAACCCGAGAAAACATAACTAGCAGTGAGTTGAAAATTAATAGAAATATACAAAGTCATACACGCTGACGTCATATAAGCAACACGTGATATCTACCTCACGCAATGTAAGCAAAACAAAGAATTTAAAAATCGAAACAAGACCTCATGATTCGAATTACAAAATTACATATATATATATATATATATATATATATATATATACATACGCTGCCCCACGCAGCAAATTGTGGCACAAGGCCGAGTTTAAAGTGAGGTATCCGAGCCTGTTGGCGCGAGAAAAAATTCCCTATAGACCACGTAAAAACATATTCAGTTTCCCCGAGATACACACACACACACACACACACACACACACACACACATATATATATATATATATATATATATATATATATATATATATATATATATATGAATGATAAAATAAAGAACAAATAGGAAACGTTTATCATGTTTAGCTTTTAAGTTTTACTAATACTTCCTCAGATACCGAGATATGCAGAAAAAAGATTCAGCAGGATTCAGAACCATATTTGATCTGTATTAGATTCAACTTCTCCCACAGAAACATATATATATATATATATATATGTATGTGTGTGTGTGTGTGTGTGTGTGTGTGTGTGTGTGTGTGTGTGTGTGTGTGTGTGTGTGTGTGTGTGTGTTAAAGAGAAGAGAAAAACCGCAAAAGTTTTAGGTTTTAATGTGGATTTTTAAATATTTACTTATTATTATACTTTATTGTCTATATTTTTTTAAACGTGTTTCGGAGCTTTCGACCATCATCAGGTGAAGAGTGGTTATTTCCATATATTTAAAGGGATTATTTTTTCCTTGTGTTTTCCGATGTTTAACCATTGTCTTTTGCGTGTAGTAGTAATCCAAACTTTCCTGGACTTGTGGAGAAACACAATACACAAAAATGAGATAGGTTTAAAAAGATGCAGAGGTCATAAAAAGTTTAGAAGAAAAACCTTTGTAGAGGACCCGCTATAGCAGTGCTAGCCTACGAAAAGGTGGCCTTGTGCCAGACACTACTTACGACTACCGAATCCACTAACAAAGTAAAAATAATAAATGTGAGATCTTTAGTGAGAAAAAAGGGTCATTTAACACGTGCATAAAAATAGTAAAATATAGATAGCCAGAAGGAAACGACAAAACGAGTCTGGTGGAAAACAAATATGAAACTTTATTTTGAATAACAAATAATCTTGTCTCAACAGTGGAGACTATCAGAAAAGGTAAGGACTGTTCTTAGCCAGTAGGCAGTTAGTATTATGTAGAGACTAATAGAATGTTAAAGTTCCGCGCCAAAACAAAAAAAAACAAAATGGCTAAGGCGGGAAAAGTTTCTTCAGAGGGAAGGTTCTGGAATATTGTCTTCTTGTACGAAAGGTGTAGGCATACACAAGGAAAAATAGTCACTGCGAGGTTTAATAATGTGTGTGTAATGTTATCTTTTTTTAAACTGGTTTGTAAAGGTTAGAAATCGAGAGAGGTGTATGAAAAGTTCATCAATCTTCAGTGAAGAAAATTCTGCGTTCCCTGGGAGTGAACGGTGGGAAATTCGAACAAGTTGTTCGCATCAAGACGAGAAGTTAGTCTTGGAAAAGTGTGATGACGACCGTGTCGTAGACTCTGGTAGAAAATGGAGGAAGGTTCAAACATGTTGTTCACTTCAAGACGAGGAATTAGTCTTGGAAAAGTGTGATGTCGACAGTGTCGAAGACTCTACGTTTTCTAGTAGTTCAAATAAGTTGTTTGAAGAAAAGTTGTAATCACAAGACATGTTGAAATTTTGGTTAGTTAAGATATTCCGGCCCGCGTATGGGTTAGGGGCACGGAATAAATGAGTCGACCTTCTAGCTTGATAATCAGGTTACGACTAACTTGAAAAGCGAAGTTTGTCAGTGACGTCAGAGAAATGCGCGGGAAAACTTCAAATTCCGTTCTAGACGGTATCAGGAGCAGCCAGCAACCTTGTCGGCAACAAAGGCTGGTTTACTGCTATGTCTAGCCGAAAGTGAAAGGAAGGGGTGCAATACGCGCGCGCAAAAGGGTGGAATCCATGCACGATTCCACACCTTCTTTCTTCGCCCTTTCTCTGGCCATTCCTAATTGTTTTAATACCGCTTAAGCAGGAGAATAGTTTCTTCATAAGTCCAGAAAAATTTGGATTACTTCTACACACAAGAAACAATGGTTAAACACTAGAAAACATAACAAAAAAATAATTCCTTTAAATATGTGGAAATAACTACTCTTCGCGTGATGAAGGTCAAATGCCCCGAAATAGGTTTAGCAACAGTATGGGAAAATAAATCATAATAAATAATTTTTAAAAATCCACATTAAAACCCAAAAAGTTTACGGCTTCTCTCTTCTCTTTAAAATATACAATTTTTCTCTCGTTGGAACAACTATAACCTCTCCTAAGATATATATATATATATATATATATATATATATATATATATATATATATATATATATATGAGAGGAGGAGAAGGAGGTGAATAATTACTACTGCAATCTGCTTCCAAAGACTTGACTAAATAACAAAACATCCGATTTTATTTTTACAAAATCCCTTCTTGGTTCAGGACTAATTTTCAACACACTTTCAAATAGATGGATAGATAGATAGATAGATAGATAGATAGATAGATAGATAGATAGATAGTGAAAGAAAATGGTAGACAGCCTGGGAAGCCTATCCGTACGTGCAAATGGGATTGACATTATAATTGTTCAATTAATGTGTAATCTGAACACCCGAGTCTTTGTCTCTGTCCCTTAATATTGCAGCATTTCATCAAAGTAGATATTATTATTATTATTATTATTATTATTATTATTATTATTAGTGTACTTATCAAGTTACTCTCGACAATGAAAATGATCATGATGCTCACTCATTGATGGGATGTAAATGTGCACTGATAATGCAATCGATACGTTGTAATCGACACAAATAATTGAAATCTGAGGTCAACCTGATAAAAGTGTTATTAGAGTGTACAAGGATTAATGAGAATGTTGATTACATAACGAAGAGCTAAAACGATTTTTCATTGTGTGGCCCATAATTACTTTTCTTTTTTGTTTTCTATTTTTTTTAATCATTTCACCCTAAGCAAGGCAATAAAGCCACTAGGACGCTAGGGGTTAAAAAAAACTACTATCAAGGACAATAAAATAATAAGAATTAAGAAAACAGAAGATAACGATTGACGCTGTAATTAAATGTTTAAATATCAAATTTGACTGGAAAGCAGACGTGTGATAGAAGAGACTGTTAGCATTGAACTTACATCGAGCCATTTCAACTGTAAAATGATGTGACCGCGTTGCAAATCTACTACTGCGCTTAAAGCGAGTCCCACAAAGAAGTGAGATGTGTTTTTTTATTAGTTTTTAATGACATTTTAATGAGTTTTATTAATTATTTTTTCCGTAAGTATATCGCAGTTTCAATGAAAAATGTTCTGACGAAATACATGCCTTAGTTTCATCAGTTCAGACCTTTACAGCTAAGACCGAACATACCACATACACTGGGCCGACTCGTCCTTCGTATTCTACTGAAGAAGACATTATTTTAGAGAACAAGCAGATGGGTGGTGTAATGGATACTGTCTCAGAATCAGATGTCGAAGAGCCGAGTTTGAATTGCAGTTGTGTTCCTTACATTCACATACGCGCAAATGACCCTAGAAAATGTATCAAGCCATCTCTTGACAACAGCTATGGATTAAAGAGTATTACTTGTATCTGGAAACACCATTGTAATACTAAAGAACTTGCTAATATAATATTCACTCACAAAACAAAGACTTATTCTCACAATCCAAAATATGATTGATATCCAAAATAAGGGTTGATAAACCGTAAATAAATAAAATTAATCAACCACCTCCGATCATACTAATATTAAACTCTTCAATTCTACAGTCAATCGTTATCCATCTTACATATCTTCATAATTTACATTCTCCTTTTACGCCCATTAAGCCTGGGTATGTCAATAACCTACAACCGGCCGCAAGGCCTCTGATTAGCAGATTGGAGATTTTGAGCTAGAGGGAACCAGTACTTAATTGCTATTGTTTCCAGGTCTGCCATGAACCGGTGTGGTAGCACCTGATAGGGTCCCAGCTATGGGCAAATAGTGAACCGCCAAAAAAAATACAAGAAAGTATGAAAATACATTTTTGTAATAAAAATACCGACAATACATTTTTATAGTAAACTGACTAACAATGCCTACTTATTGTAAAATAAACAACAATACCTATTTATAGTAAAATGACCAGCAATGCATTTTATAACAACAGGATTAAAATTACTTTTTTATCTTTAGTTGAAGCCATATAATTACGTTCCAAATATATTTAGTTGAAGCCATAAAACTGTATTCAAAATATTTAGATTTCGGCAACACATAGAGGTTGATATGCCGGCAAACAAAATCAACCAATCTTACGTCCATAGAAAAACCTCATTCAGTGGTGCTCTACCTTGATTGGATCTTGAGCCTTGTGAATATTTAGTAAATGAAAATACAGAGACTGAATGTGAAAAATGTCAAAATTTAAGCAAGTACAGAAATTTAACTCTTTAACTATATTGTTAAATGACGGCGGAAAATATCAAACAAGAATCAGAAGATTTATAAGAATAGCGAAATAAGCCTTTTAGAAACTAAGCCAAATATCAATAATTAGGAAAATTTCACCAGAAACGAAGAGCAGAATGCTTTCTGACAGTTTATAATCCTTTCTTCTCGATTTCCTTTACTATCTTGTTATGGAGGTCATGTAGTTTCCGTTTTGTGTCTGTCATCAACACTGTGTCATTTGCGTATCGTATATTATTAAAATCGCATCCACCGATAATAAATTCTGATATTGTCTCCAGTCGCTCCCCTTATGGATAGCCTCAACTCAGAGGTTGAATAAATCTGGTCAGAAGACACAAACTTGTCTTACGTTCCTCTTTATATGCCTATTCCTTTTCTGTCCATATGCGGGCGATTTGTTCCGTGCTTAAGTTCTGGGTGATTCTAACATCCTTCCCAAGTAGATCGACTTTTCCTAACAGATCAAATAGATCTTTGTGCCGTACCTGTTTTTTACAGTAAAATTCATCCTGTTCAAGACCAGGTGAGGCGCTCGAGGTAGAGGATGACATTAATGGGTAGTTTATATATATATATATATATATATATATATATATATATATATAGGAGGTGAAGATAACAGTTAACTGTACATTTGAATAAGTTAAGATTGTAATGACCGGGGAAACATTCTCTTGGGAGTCTCTTCCACACAGCAGTAGTTCACGAGAAGAAGCTGTTCGAATGGAACTTATGTGTCACTGAAGGAATACAGCGGGATTGTGAGTGGTTTGATACAATTTAAGTGGCATGGTGAGTCCTAGCCGTGAAGGTTAAAACAGACGGAACCAAGGAATATAGTTCTTCCGAGCACTTTCCATGGAAGTATTAATAGATCAGTGTGAGGCTCGCCATATCTCGTCTGTGACAGAGGGGTTGATGGGTAGAAAATAATTCGTCAGTCACAATGACTCGGAGACGTTTCTGAAGTCTATCAGGATCGGAAAGTAAAGACTGCGTAACTCTGGCACATATGGCAACAGTACTCCATTGTCGGCTCTTGTAAAGGTAGAGGATATCAGGAGGAGCCCGGTACTTAGCGGAATGGCAAAAGGGAATCGACCATTTTACCCGCATCTTTAGCGATGGATCGTATGTACGAATTCCACTTGAGGTCATGTGTGAGTTTGAGGCTCAATTGTCACTCAAGTCACGGTACCTCCTCCGGGGACATCTTTTCATCGCGACTGGAGGTTGTTTAGGGTCTAATAGGCGTTGATGGAATATAACGATATTGGTTTTCGTGGCATTGAATGTAACCAGCCATTTTTCCGCATTATTAGTGCTAGATCAGTGGAGGGATCAGCTGATAAACTGATGGTCAAGACTTTTAGAAGTGCACACGTATATCGTCGTATCATCGGCATAGATGTTTACAAATGATCTGGGTATATTCTTACGCAGATCATTCTAAAAGAGAGTTGGTCTGAGAAGTGACACCGGCCTGCGCTGACCGCCAGGGCATCTAAGAACTGGCCGTTAATAATTAGGTACCTGTCAGGAAGGATTTTATAATTGAGAAGACCCTTCCAGTCATTCTGTGTGTAATGATAGTTATGACGTCAAAAGTGGATCAAGCCTCTCGAAACCTGTACTGCTCGTCGCACAAGAGGTTGTTCCTATATGGGTGCTCGACAAAACCTCTTGTTAACTCAAAAAGCTTACTGATAATACTGAAGAGACGGATGGGTCTATACTTGGAAGGAGAAGATCGCTCAACCGCGTTCTTGAAGACAGGGCATACTCTTGACTCCTTCCACAGGCTGAGAAAGAATTTCTCTTTCAAGGAGCGGCTGGATAACTTCGCTAGGAGCGGGGATATTTCCTGGTTGATATTCTTGAGGACAACTGCTGGAATTATGTCTAGGCCAGTGGCTTTCTTAGGGTCGAGGATTTGATAAGTCCAGAGACTTCACACGCTGAAATGAAGATTTCTGAGATTGTGCTCAGTGAGGTGAAGGAAGTTTGGGAATTTTTAATCTAACGTTGATTTTGAAGCAAAGATTGAGGCAAAGAGCTTCGCCTTCAAATGGCTTCAATGCTAATCAGAAACGTAAGAGTACATAACTAAACAAAGTACCAAGAAATGGGAAAATTACATTACAACGAAAGAAAATTTCTGAACTGCTATGTGATAGCAATCCTCTTGTATGGCTGTAACTGATGGACAATCTTCCCATAGTTGAAATAAATTTGATTCTACAGAAAGAGGTTGTTATGTGCTATGCGTGATACACACTTAGGCGATCATGTATCTTTCGATACATGACTGACGAGGCAGTAGGTTGCCATTTCTGTCTGTGGTAGACCAGTTGTCATCCAAGCCATTTGTCCTGCTATTTACCAATAGAGGATTCATATTTTCCCCATGGGTATTAGCACGTAAGTGAATGTAATGGATCTGACTGGATTCCGAACTCGGCTCTCCGATTCGTCAATCCGAGCCGCTATCCATTACTCCACCGTGCCTCCTGTTACCAGCGAGGTAGTCTTAAAGAAAATGACAACGAAAATAACACTTCTACTCAGAATTAAAAATAGACAGCTGAAGTTTCTTCGACACATAATGAGGTAGGTGGACACGGAGTACTTAACCTCACAAGGCATTATAATTCAAGAGAGATAAGAGGCAGTTCGCCACCTTCCGGTTGAGATTATGTGAATGAATGGTGGAACTGGGATGGAGAGGTTTGGCAAAGGGACAAAGGTTGCTAAATGCTCCAAGGGATATGAAGCTGTGAAGAGCCATAATCCTCCACGTCTTGATGGGACATGACACATGGAAGAAGATAGTACCTCATTATAGAGGGAAAAGAAGAAAGAAAGATCGATCTTTTTTTCGTTTTAGCGGCTACTTCACTTTCATCACTCCCACTGCGAAAGTCGGAAATAAAATAAACGATATATTTGGTCGAACTCAAGAGTAGCAGACTTTTTTGCCAAGTCAGACATGAACGACTCAGCTTGTTCCAACAGAAGTTGTTATCAACGCCTAGTCAAGCTAACTCGAGTTTACTGTTGAATCGCAAAGGTATTTTTCCTATTTACACGATTCGGACTG